ACCGTCATCACTCAGGTCACCCACCGTCATCAGGGAGGTCACCCACCGTCATCAGGGAGGTCACCCACCGTCATCAGGGAGGTCACCCACCGTCATCACTCAGGTCACCCACCGTCATCAGGGAGGTCACCCACCGCTGTCTCTTATACACATCTAGATGTGTATAAGAGACAGTCACTTGCCTTCATCCACCCTTTACAGCAGCTGTAATCACCATCACTTCCATTTCATTCAATACAGCTTGCGTTCATCACCCATATACAGCAGCCGTAATATCTTCATCCCCCAAGCAATGGGTGACACGCCACGCACCCTGGCGATGCAGCGGTCATCCTCCCTCTTGTTCTCCTGCACGAAGTCCCCCAGAGGATACTGGTAGCGGGGGAAGGGGGCGATGGGCCAGTCCATGGAGGGGATGTCCAGCTTGTGGATGGGCTTGGAGTGCGTCACGGCCAGGCTGGCCATCGTGCGCCCGTGAAATGCTCCTGCAACAACGAGAAATATTAATTTCTTTTACATTTTCACGTAATTAAGTACGATAAACATCTAGATACATTTATACAGGCACTTTGTCATCTATGCATTAAACCTGGCTTGATACAAGATACTTTGATTGCGAAACATAATATAGAAAATTTAAATAATTTTTTTATGTATTATTATTTTCATGGTATTCTTACACTGCGACACTCGACGACACACGACCTGGTAAACCAGGGACATGACAAGACCAATAACACGCCCTTGCGCAACGTCTTTCATGTTTATCCCGTTGCTAAAGTTTTTCATTATCATCATTCTCCGGAGGAATAACTTTTATTCACAGTTTACGTTATCCTAGAAGTACTTATACTCACCTTCAAAGCTGAGTAAGGCATAATTAGGACTGCCGGGGGGCTTGTTCCACATGCAGGACTCTAAGTCCTCGTGGGGGATGTCGGTGGCAGAGCCGCGCTGTTTGGTCCTGTACCAGAAGTATATCGCCTTGAAGGCGTTCTCGTTACTGCACGACCCGCACGACATCGTCGTCACCGACGTCATCCCTGCTGGCATAACCTGTACATATGTAATAATATGTACAGGTACATTGTGTTGCCTGTTCGGGGGTTTTGGGGACATTGTGTTGCATGTTCGGGGGATTTAGAATAACAATAGAGGAATATAATAAGTTTGCAATCGGTACCAAATAATTTGCATTGAAATAATGAATATTATTATTGAATAAATCAATCTATACATTTGAATAATTAATTTAACTCGATATTTCACTTCTCTAGCATTAACCTAGACTAACAGTTGAATGGATGCACAATTCTTATTGAAGAGTTCAAAGTTTGATGCTAAAAACGCTTGTGAGATTTTGATTAATTCTGAAATCCATCCAAAAGAGTAAGTTTAATAAGTAACTTAATAAGTGATTTAATAATCCATCCAAAAGGGTCAGGTTTCATAGGTAATTTATAAGTACACTCGACCATAAACTTGCCCCTCATCGCAATTCCCACAGAGTGCGTTTGTTCAAACCTATTTTTCGCCGTTATATAATTACAAGCAAGTTAGTATAAATATTAATATGGATGAGAGTAATAAAGTTGATATCACTACAGATAAAACCATTTAAATGGGTAAATCGAGGTACATACATTAACAAACTCATTCATTCATACTCAGCTGGCATGAATGTTGGGTACTAGGAAGTCAAATGAGAAAAATCATCGATTACTCAATTAAAATGAAGGGTAATAGAATATGCTTGATGCTCAAATTCCGTTATAGCGTCAATTACGATGAGCAAGCAATGTTATCTAAACAGTCTTTCATTTAAACACAACAGTATAACGAATACTACACAATAATTAAAACAGTCTTTCATTCAAGCAAAAGGTCAAGAGCACAGCTATTTACAACCTTTCATTTAAACTGAGCATTAAATATACAACGTAGTAATTGAAACCGCTTTTCATTTAAGTAAAAGGTGAAGAGCACAGCCTTTTATCTAACCTTCCATTTAAACAAAACGTCACGAACACAACAAAATAATAAAAACAGCATCCCATTAAGTGTCATGAAGACAAGACAAGTCTTTCAATCGATTTTCTTTCAAACAAAAGGTTACGAACACAATCATATATATATATATATATTACCGGTAAATTTTCTGCACTTTTAAAAAAATTACCTTACATTTCCTTAGCAATTGACCAGCAAGGAAAAAGAGTCATCAGTGGCGGCAGATTAGATAATGCGATGAAACATTTGCTGAGGAAGCAAATGTATCGCATAAGACCGATGCTAAAAATACATTGTATTCGAAGCCAGCTTTTGCAAATAATCGCCCCATATATTATTTTCATGGTGTAACCATCGTGAAGGGAAAAATCTACCGTACACGCGACATAAGTTGCATTTCAGCAGACACTTAACTCGCAACTCGTTACTAAAACCAGACTGTACATCATAGAAGCACGATTTGTAAGGTTCTATTAGCACATTATTACAACTAAGTTGTTTCGATCTCAGTATAGGGAATTGCAGTGCAGTTTTGTTTCTAAAATAGATCGTTTATATTAAAAGCCGATGACACAAGTTCTGAGGCGACTTGATTGGCATTTACGTTATAAAAATTGTTTGTTGACAGTCTTGTGTTTCGAAGCATCATGTGTCACAATGAGAACCATATATGTATTGTATCTCTTCCTCTGAATGAGGTGGCGGACTATACGTACGTACGTCTACCGTGCCGATAACAATAGCACTTGAGTCGCCGGCCTTCAATAGGAAAGATATATTCTATAAACAAAACTGAACGATGTCTCTGTATCGCGATCTAAACAGCTTAGAAGTATCAAAACAGTAGTGACTATGTGTTATTCTAACCGTACAAATCGTACTTCTGACCATTATTCTACGGTTTTCAGTAACGAGCGACGAGTAATCTGAGTGGTGGCGACCGAAGTGTCACTGACAATACATATATTCGGTGTCCAAGCATAGACTTCGCTTCCATGCTGCCACATGTCGCTTCCTGGGAGTGTTTCAGATACAGTTTGTGATCCCATAACACATATTTTTCATACCACATACCAACTGCTGCCATCAGCCAAATTCTACGTCGCGTGAACCAGCACCTCTGTTCTCAATGCCGGTTTATTTTTACTCTTTCTGAGCAAAATTTAGATCAACGATAAAGAATTTCTTCAATTGGGCAATATATATTTTTTTACTTTTATTTATTCGAAAATTTATATCGCCTTTTTTTATTATTATACATTAATAGAAAAAGTTTGGTTAGTAAAAGTTTATAAAATAATCAAGTTCAATCTGTTTGCCGGTACCTATCCAATGGTGTTTCAAATTTTACAATAACAAATTCTTTCCTGATAATGCGGAACCATTACACTAAACACAAATACTCGTTTTCCTCGTACGGCCACTCGGACTGAAAGAATTTACACAATATCACCAAGAAACTTCCCATAAATTAAAAAGAAATTCCTTCAAGCCGCCGCGCAATTCGCACGACAGAAGAGGGGCTGAATTTTTCTCGAGCTCCACGTACACTCGATGGCTGAAGCACTTCCAAGGGTCGTTCATAGCTCGCAACTCATGAATTTCTTAATAAAAACCCTGGCAAAATTCTGGCAAGCCTGCTGAATGATGAAGCTGACAACTTTAATGAGCATGACGGCGAACGCTTATAAAGTATGTGGTCCAAAACTTTTTAAAACCAAAATTTCCTTTTGCTTTTATTATTAAAGTTTAGAAGTTTGTGGAAAATATTTTTAGACCGATAAATGTTATTCTACAAGGTGGGGCAGACTGTTTAATGCAAGATTTCTTGAAGATGTGAGAGTTATTCGTATTTCCTCATTTTTACTAAAATTAAAAATTAAACTTTTTGTTGAATATGAAAGTTCTAATACAAGATTTTCAGGAGACACTTTTCTTGGTTTCGACTGAACAATATTCATTATAATTCGCATATTGATGTAGCTTATCCACTGAACACACTCGCTAATCCTCAAGATTAATCCTTAAATTATTAATCCTAACCTTTATATACAATTTTAGCTGAGAACAACAAAATCCTTATCCAATTTCTATTCGCGTACACACGACTATGAGTCCAACGGTCATTAAGCCTATAGCGTTCTCCAAGCATCAAGGAAATAAAACAAAACATCGCGAAAAATCGATGTTATGACCAATAAAATGAAATAAATTCATGTTCCTGCGGTACTATAGGAGACGCGTGAGCCGCCATCGCATGTCTAGTCTTGCTTTGAGCTAATCTTATATAACCTTGACCCTATATTTCACTTAGCCTATATCCTGCCTTCAGCCGAAGTTATCCTTGGCAAATTATGCCTACATCCTATCCTACCTTGAAATTAGCCAGCCTTAATCCATTCTTGTCTTGACCTTATCTCGCTTATCTTGGCAAAATATCAGAAAATTCAAAATTATTTAAGATAGAAAAGCAGCGGCATCCGTTATTGACTCATCCGTCGAGATGCTCTAAAGCTAAGAACAATTCCCGTACTCTGGTTCATATTATTTCAGTCATGCTAATTCTGGTGAAAATATACAAGTAATTTTGTTGGTTAAACTTGCGCGTTGCCATCATAATGCTTACACCCGTGATTCTAGGGGTTAATGATGTTAAGTTTGTGTACTTACATGCATTAAAATACGATTTTTCAAGTGTACGAATATTTATTTCCCCCCACTGTATATATATAAATGACCTACAACAAAAGAAAATAACTATTTTTATTATTTTTCAAATACTTCAGTACAATAAAGATCTAAATAAATGAATAACGGGAGCTGTTGATGTTATTATTTAGATTTCGAAACTTAATTTGGTGAAGTAAGGCTGGATGGACACAATTCAGAAAATTTAAATTATGGTTTTAAGTATTCTAGACATAACAAGACCAATAAGACGCTCTTGCGCCCGTCTCTCGCGACGCCTTTCATGTTTAGTCCGTTGCTTTCTATTAGGAGAAAGGATTTATTCATAATTTTCAGGAGAAATAAATTTTATTCACTCTCTATGTTAAGATAGAAGTACTTGTACTCACCTTCAAAGCTGAGTAAGGCATAATTGGGACTGCCGGGGGACTTGTTTATCTTATTTTAGATGTACTCACCTTCAAAGCTGAGTAAGGCATAATTAGGACTGCCGGGGGGTTTGTTCCACATGCAGGACTCTAAGTCCTCGTGGGGGATGTCAGTGGCAGAGCCGCGCTGCTTGGTCCTGTACCAGAAGTATATGGCCTTGAAGGCGTTCTCGTTACTGCACGACCCGCACGACATCGTCGTCACCGACGTCATGCCCGCTGGCATCACCTACAGGGGGGTGGGGGGGGCATTTTGTAAGCAATGATAATGCTAAACAATGATATAACAGCGATAATAAGAGTAATAGTAAGGCATATCATAGCCAGAAGTAAGTGAAGTCACCACTCAAGTCACCCTCCGTCATCAGGGAGGTCACCCACCGTCATCAGGGAGGTCACCCACCGTCATCAGGGAGGTCACCCACCGTCATCAGGGAGGTCACCCACCGTCATCACTCAGGTCACCCACCGTCATCAGGGAGGTCACCCACCGTCATCACTCAGGTCACCCACCGTCATCAGGAAGGTCACCCACCGTCATCAGGGAGGTCTGCAGACGCTGCCCCCAGTCTGCCCCCGGGAAGACACCCAGTGAAGGACGGTTGACGAAGGCTCTCTGCGTGCATCAAATCCTTCATCAATTAAGTGCTATAATATAAACATGATGACTTCTCGTTTAAAATGTCCAAATACTTTCTTTTGGATTTGATAAGCTCTTCAAATCTACTGATTAATTCAATTTTCTGTAATGCTTAAGAAAAAATAATTTATTGTATTCAATTATAATCCAATTATTGTAATTATTGTCAAAACAACTTTTTTAAGCACTGCAAAAAGCTATGCAGCACGCATCTCCATACGCACAAACCGGTGCTGTACAGTAATGTTTATTTCTAAACAAACATGGCTGCACTCCCGTATATTATTACTTGCATATCTATACTAGCGGTGCACCAAGTGTGTCAATTTGTACAATATGAACCCATGCAATTCCTGAGTGCATGCACTGCCAGGATATTGTATTTGTTATTAGAAGAATTCCTGAACTGATTTTTGTGTGAATTTGTGAGCCATGCGTGCAAAATACTTGAATAACAACCCCGGTATATTAATTATTGGCTTGTAGTGTGTTTTACATATAATACTCTAACTTAAATACTCCTGCTTTTAATACAAACACTCGGCATTAGCCCCTGCATGAGTGTTGAGTTCATTATATATAGTATGTATATTATATATATAGGTATCATACTATATAACACTATACTACTCTAATCTACTAATATATTAAATACTCGGCATTATCCCCTAAGCATTAAGTGCTGACCAGGTTCTGAGGCCGGACGAGCGTGTCGAGCAGGTCTGGATGGCTGTAGCCCAATACTATATAATACTATACTGCTATAATATAGTATATAATACTACAGGGTGCGCCGCAGAAACTTACTTATTTGAAAAAATTCCTGTGCGGTTAGTTGGTCGGGTAGAGGGGCGAGAGGGGGTGCATCTGAAGGGGAAAGTTCCCNTCTAGATGTGTATAAGAGACAGGTTTGACTCCATGCGATTTCTTTTTATGGGGATATTTGAAATTTCTGGTTTATGTCGATCGACCACGGACCATAGCACACCTCAAGAACAACATTCGCAACGTCATTGCCAAAATACTGATTGATATGCTGCATAGAGTGGAAACCATTATAAAAAATGCGACTTCATTAGTTTATGCACAATGGACGCCGTCATTCATGAGATTTAATTTTCAAAACTGTATGAAAAAAAATTTGGGATACTGTTTTCTCGAATAAAAAAAAATTAAAACAATAACTGAAGTACTTTTGTTTTTATTGACCTTTCAAATAAGTAAGTTTCTGTGGCGCACCCTGCATCTTGCTATAATATACCATATAACACTATACTACTATAATATACCATATAACACTATACTGCTATAATATAGTAATATATTAAAGACTTTATCCCCTAAGCAGACCAGGTTCTGGGGCCGGACGAGCGTGTCCAGCAGGTCTGGATGGCTGTAGCCCAGCGGCAAGGAGGAGATCTGCGTGAAGGCGTCCAGCAGCACGTTGCCGTCCGCGTCTACTTGGTAGTTGCCTACACTTTTGTCGTAGTCTACGAATACCTGCACCGTCTGGCACGGCTGCACACGAAAATAAGTCAAAACTTCGTGAGGAGTCGTGCAAAGTACGGATAAAGTGTTCGTAGTAAATTAACGAATACCTGCACCGTCTGGCACGGTTGCACACGAATAATATAAGTCAAAACTTCGTGATAAATCGTCGGGAACTATAAGTAAAGCAGTACATATATAATGGGATTCCACATTAGATGTAGAAGAAGGTGTGATTTTTCCCGCTTATGTTATAAACCTTGTCGAAGAAAAATCAATAAAGAACAGTGCGGAAAATTTTCAAGTCGATGTGCCACTCAAATTTTTTTTATCGCGTGAACGATCAGGATTTTAAGTAATACAACAATACTGATACGGCTTCAAGTACACGTAAAGTCCAGTGCACTTAAAGTCAAGTACACGTAAATTCAAGTACACTTAAAGTCCAGTACACTTAATGTCAAGTACACGTAAAGTCAAGTACACGTAGAGTCCAGTACACGTAAAGTCCAGTACACTTAAAGTCAAGTACACGTAAAGTCAAGTACACGTAAAGTCAAGTACACGTAAAGTCAAGTACACGTAAAGTCAAGTACACGTAAAGTCAAGTACACGTAAAGTCAAGTACACGTAAAGTCAAGTACNACAGTCCCATAGCCCTCCCATAACAGTCCCATAGCCCTCCCATAACAGTCCCATAGCCCTCCCATAACAGTCCCATAGCCCTCCCATAACAGTCCCATAGCCCTCCCATAACAGTCCCATAGCCCTCCCATAACAGTCCCATAGCCCTCCCATAACAGTCCCATAGCCCTCCCATAACAGTCCCATAGCCCTCCCATAACAGTCCCATAGCCCTCCCATAACAGTCCCATAGCCCTCCCATAACAGTCCCATAGCCCTCCCATAACAGTCCCATAGCCCTCCCATAACAGTCCCATAGCCCTCCCATAACAGTCCCATAGCCCTCCCATAACAGTCCCATAGCCCTCCCATAACAGTCCCATAGCCCTCCCATAACAGTCCCATAGCCCTCCCATAACAGTCCCATAGCCCTCCCATAACAGTCCCATAGCCCTCCAATAACAGTCCCATAGCCCTCCCATAACAGTCCCATAGCCCTCCCATAACAGTCCCATAGCCCTCCCATAACCTAAAAATTATCTAATTTGTCGTGCTCAAACTCATCCACAAGGCAGGCTATGTTGAGCCCATAGCCCTCCCATAACCTAAAAATTATCTAATTTGTCGTGCTCAAACTCATCCACAAGGCAGGCTATGTTGAGAACCCTTCGATACATTCTTACCAAACAGCTCAGTGCACCAGCACCACAACCCGTCCAGTATTTGTACAGCGGTATTCCTTAGCTACAACACCGGTCAATTATGAAATACATCTGTAAAAAGCAACTGCAGTACCTGTCAGCCATTTATAAGAGCGTTACATTTATAGCAGCTGCAAATGCTAACTAACAGTATATACTAACCATATACAGCAGCTGTAATTACCTTCACTTGCGTTCATCAACCATATATAGCAGCTGTAATAGCCATCACTTGCATTCATCAACCATATATAGCAGCTGTAATAGCCATAACCTGCCTTCATCCACCCTGTACAGCAGCTGTAATCACCATCACTTCCATTTCATTCAATACAGCTTGCGTTCATCACCCATATACAGCAGCTGTAATCTCTCTATCCCCCAAGCAATGGGTGACACGCCACGCACCCTGGCGATGCAGCGGTCATCCTCCCTCTTGTTCTCCTGCACGAAGTCCCCCAGAGGATACTGGTAGCGGGGGAAGGGGGCGATGGGCCAGTCCATGGACGGAATGTCCAGTTTGTGGATGGGCTTGGAGTGCGTCACGGCCAGGCTAGCCATCGTGCGCCCGTGAAATGCTCCTGCAACAACGGGAAATATATAATTTTTTTATTTTTCACATACTTCAGTGCGATAAAAATATAAATAAATGACCTACAACAGCCGAAAATAACTATTTTTTTTTTATTTCAGATACTTCAATTCAATAAAGATCTAAATAAATGAATAACGGAAGCTGTGCCATCTATGTAAACAACAAGGATTAATTCAAGTCATTCTGATGGCGGAACATAATTTGGTGAAGTAACGCCGGATATGGGAACAATTCAGAACATTTCCACGTACTTCGATCAGTACGATAAATATATAAATAAATGAATAACGGGAGCTGTGGCATCTATGCACACATCAAGGGTTAATACAAGTTTTTTTTCATTGCGAAACATAATTTGGTGAAGTAAGGCTGGATGGAAACAATTCAGAAAATTTAAATTAATTTTTTATATATTCTAGAC